TCCACAAGCAAAAATCGGTCTCACACCCTTGACAAATTACAGAGTCGGATACTACCGCTTTGTGCTTGAACTTGACACACACACACATTAATAGTGCATGAAGGAAAGAATTTGTTAACCTTCGTGCTTGGCTTTTCATGGTTAATGTGTGCTTGGGGTATATCTATTGTTAACTTCACCTGGGTGGTTTTGTGTGTGTGTGTGTGTGTTTTTTTATATTCTCCACACTATGAGCACAATATCCTCCATAATAATAATAATGATAATCATAACACTGATGATGATAATAATCCTAAACCACCTCTTTCTCTCCACAGCTGAAGTGTTGTGGGGTAAACAACTACACGGACTTCCAACAAGCGACGATGTGGCAGGCCAACAAGTCAAGTGATGTGTTGGTCCCTAGGGCATGTTGTGTGCTTGAAGGGAACCCCATCAAATTCCTACCACTAGACCCTACCTGCATTACCAACCCCACCCTGGACAACTCTTATTACCTAACAGTTAGTTCATCTACTTTTTACTTATTTTTTGGACATTTCATATCTAGTATATAAGTTTTTTTTTGTAAGTGTGTTGGGTCATTGTAAGTAACCTTCGCTAGGATAACTTTTACTACTTCTCGGCTTATGGATATACGTTTTAGAGGGAATTTTGTAAGTGTGCTGGATATGTAAAGGTCTTAAAAGTACTAAGTAATTCATAATAGAAGGTTTTATAAGTAGCAAATATCTTGTAAGTGAATTTATTATAAGTTAAGATTATATAAGTACTGTACAGTTAACCCTCACTTTACACGGTTAATGTAACCCGGAGGGTCCCGCGTAAAGTGAGAAAAGCGTAAAGTGAATAACATAACATATGGGATTAATTGAAATGGAGTCCGGGCCGATCCCCAAACTCCACTTTTTGACGACACACAACTATGTTGTAGTAAAAATATTATCTTAACTTTATGATGGTATGCACACACAATTAATAATTAAGAGAAATATCAATAATATTAGGTTTTTAACACTTACATTAGTAGAAAAAATGGCTGGGCACACGGGGATGGGCGGTTGGTTCCGAGGCAGAGGGCAGATTATTGGCCCTCACCTGTGTCACTTGTATCAATTGTATCACTATCCACCACAGAGGCTTGCAGGGCCTCTTTGTCAAACTCCCCAAAGTCCATATAAGTCCATATCCTCACCATAATTATCACTATCACTGACTTGGGCCGGCTGTGGTGGGTGAAGAACTGGTAATGTTTTGATGACTGGGCGACCTTTTGCGCACCATGTTTGCGCAGCTTACACAACATGGCGGATGGCGGGAGGTTTGGATCCAAAAATGGCGCGGCTCGCCAGCCGCTCTCCGCGTAAAGGGGTACACGCACCGCGGAATGTGAGCATCCTGGGTTCCGGCAGGGCACCGCGTAAACGTGGAAACGCGGAATGTGGGACCGCGTAAAGTGAGGGTTAACTGTAGTAGATAACCCATTAAGGATGGTTTTATAAGTAGGAAATACAGTAAATCATAAGTGATGGTAATACAAGTAGAAGGTAACTTATAAGTGACGATTTTATAAGTAGTAATTCATAAATTATAGTTTTATAAGTTCTGTAATAATTCATCAGGAAAGGTTTTATAAGTACAAAAACATATTTTTAAATAGTAAGTGAAGATCGTAAGTGAAGATCGCCAAAAATCCTGGGGTACAGAATTATCCCCAGATATAACACACACACACACACACACACTCACACACACACACACACACACACACACACACCATCTGTTGCCTCCAGGATACTGTGGCCACCCAGGGTGGAGGATAATCAATAGTTTAATTTTTTAGCATTTGGTAGCGTGAGGAAGGGCTTCTGACCGTTGCCGGGTGACCGGGGTGGTAGCTATGTTTTAATGAAGTGCCCCACACACACCTTCGACCCTTCTTAATGACCCAAACTTGTCTAGCCCACGTCAGCTGTTGTTAGCTTGGCTTGGGGGGTGGCTTTTAAGCTGTGTTGTGGTTGATTGTGGTTGGATGGTTTAAGCTGTCTAGTGGCTGTAATTGATTGTGGTTGGGGGTTTAAACTGTCTAGTAGTTGTGGTCTTAGCTGTCTAGTGGTTGTGGTCTTAGCTGTCTAGTGGTTGTGGTCTTAGCTGTCTAGTGGTTGTGGTCTTAGCTGTCTGCTGGTAGTGGTTGGGGGGTTAAGCCTTCTAGTTGGGGTGTCTACTGGTCTGGAAAACCTGGAAAAGCCAGGAAATTTTACAAATAAACCTGGAATTTAATGTGAATTCAATTCAACTTCAAAATAGTGTGAATCCTGTGGGCTCTTCTTCATCCTCCGTTGTTAATGTTTTTCAGGGTGTACATCGCCAATACAATGCAGTTTCATCTGCATTATACACCTGCTCGGGACTGAGGTGTTCATCAGCTACAAGCTTGGCAAATTCGTCCACATACTTGGCAGCTCCTTCCTTGTTTGCAGACTGTTTCTCACCATAAACCTTACGCATTGCAATTCCATGACGCTTCTTAAACCTTTGAAGCCATCCTTCACGTTAGTCACAGTTATGTTCTAAATAAGTTCTTCATGGGACACCTTTGCCTGTTCCATTATCATGCTACCTGACAATTCCACTCCTTCAATGTGATGTTGTCGAACCCATTCCATCATCACTCTATCATGTTCAGTACACTTACCGTCTTTCATTGTTTTTCTAATGCACATTTGCTTCTTGGAATAACTTTCTGCATAGAATCTCATTACTTTTTCTCTGCTTCTTTATATCATACACAGTTGACGAACCAATACCATGCTGATTATTCACCTGTTGTACTGAAACACCACGGTCAAGTTTTCTCAAGAGTTCCACCTTATCTTGTATAGATATGGACTGGTGTTTACACTTTACACCACCACTGACACTTGTACTTGCCTTTGAAGCCATAGCTGGGACTAAATATGTACAAAATAAGCTAAGAATCACACAAAATCATGGAGCTACCACCAGCAAATGCAGAGTAAACAAACAAAGTGAGCGTGGCTAACTCGTAACGCCATCTGTGGCAGCCCAGTAAACTAATCTGGAAGTTGCAGGAATTTCAAGTGCCCTTTCGTAATTTTGTCCGGATTAAAAGAGGTGCCGGACCATCTGTTCCTGGAAAATCGGTGGTGGACCTGTATACCATCTTTAAATTTCCCAATAATATGTACTGTACATGTATCCTCAATAATCACGGGACCCGATAATCACTGATCTGGCTTGTCACAGTATCCTCAGTTGCAACCATGTGTACACTTATCAATGATTTGATCTGGGTTATCACGGAATTGTCATGGGACAGTGGCAGGTTTGAGAGAGCCAGAGGTAGCAGCGACTGCCAAGAGATGGCAGCATGGCTCGTGGCGCCAGCTTCCAGTGGCGGCATTTATTTCCCCGCACTGTTTTGGTTGGTGTTTGAAGACAGTTTCCTGCTCCGTGCTTGTTTATGGTGCAATTTTTGTTACTTTTAATTACCCTCCACCATGGCACCTGTGAACAAGAAGAGTGTTAAGGCACCTGATCCAACCAAGCGATGAAAACGTGTGTAGTATTCTCTGTTTGAATGTTCCAATGTTCCCGACAAGGATAAGCATGCACTCGGTAACACACCCACCGTGTTTTACCATTTCCTTCCACTCCACCTCTCTAATCACCCCCACCTTTCTCACTCCATAATTTAAAATTTATGTAACATAATGTGGAAGGATTACAACGTTGTTCATTTATACTTACACTCAATTTTGTGGGTAGACATCAGCTGTTCAGTTGTATCTGGCAGTGCTGCAGCCAGTGTTACCAAACAAACTGATTGATGCATCATCATCTCACCACTTACTACAATCTCCCCCTCCATCACCAGCTCCATGATCACCACCACTACCTATGTTATCACCACCACTTCCTCTGTTATCACCACCACTACCTCTATTATCACCACCACCAGCTCCATGATCACCACCACTTCCTCTGTTATGACCACCTAAATCATAATTTCACTGATGGATTTGATTTAGCCAGAGCAGATCAACACGATATCCACTGCCTCCCACCCACTTTCCAACTTCCTCCCTTCCACCCACTGCATCTCACTGACACTCTGCCCCTCTCACTCATTCTACTATGACTTGTCATGTATGCTACAATATTGTACAATACTGTATACAGGTATTGTTTATTTGTTATTCATTAATTAGTAAAGGTGTTACTAGTCTTTTACTGTATCTTTTAATGTACCTACACATTTTTGGGGATATGTTTTGGTCTGTTAGGGGATGTATCTTTGGGGTCATGGGACAAACTAATTTTTCCCAAATGTTATGTGTTTCGATATGTACAGTTTTGCTTATCACTGTAGTTGTCTGGAACCTAACCCCCGCGATTATCAAAGGTACATGTACATATTGTTGAAAACCTCTAATTTTATTATTCTTTCATAATAAATACTGAATCAGTGTACCTGAAAATTTTCAGATTTACACCTGGAAAAGTCAGGAAATTTTGTTTTGTCTGGCCAGTGGACACCCTACTAGTGGTTTGTGATTGGTTTAAGCTCTCCTCGTTATGACTGGTCTAAGCTGCTGCCTCATCATCGTTGTTGGTTTAAGCCGCCTCCGCGTGGCTGGATTAAGCTGTGTGGTCTAGGCTCCAGAGCGTACTCAGCTTAGAAATCATGATATTCCCAATAAGCTTTTCATCTTCAGCTTAGTAGTGTCACTCTCAGCTCTATTTCTGAACACTCTTCCACATATAAAATTTCCTTCTCATCCTTTCTTATATCTTTTTAATGGGTCTTAAATCCCCAGTATATACAAAACCTTAGAGGATTGGTAAAAACAGCTCGAGAACATTTAGAGTGGTGGACTGTGATCACCAACCCTCAGATGTGAGAACGGTACTCTGATTGATTCATGATTGAATTCTTTTGGTTATGCACATACTATTTTCTTATAATTTCTGCACTTTTCTGATATCACTTTGTTATTACTTAACTTATTCTTTTTTCTAAGTATCTGTTCCATCCCACTTAAGAATAGGAGAGAAAAATAATAAAGGCTGTTGAAATATATGAAGTATATTTGTTCTTTATCGACATGTTTACACTCTCCTGTGACATTGAGGAAAGGTAAACAGATGATGAGTGTTGGTGAGGTGTAAATGTTCCTCTCTCACTCTCACGGGAAGAATGTGTGGATGAGTTAAAACCGTGGCTTCCTATATTTTCTATTTATGCTTATTCTTGGTGTAATATTATTGTTGTTGTTTAATAGTTGCTGAAATTTGTAAACTGATACTCCAGACATTTTTTATTTTTTACAACTAATACCATGTGATGATTCTTTTACATTTACAGCAGTGAATAATGATCATGGATTCACAAATGTTGGTAAATTCTGTAAGACACTAAACCATATATTTTTTCCCCTATTATTATTCTTTTGGTGAAGGTTCTACATTTACAATGGTGAGAAAGTTGTCTGTAAATAACTAATCTATACATTGTTTTCTCCCTTCTAACACTGAAGTGGTGATGGTTCTCTTCCTTCATTTACAAAGCTGTAAAAGTAGAGAAAAAGTTTACAAATTTTTCAGAAACCAATAATCCATTGTTTCTTCCTCTTGGTGATGGGATCCTACATTTACAGAGTTGAGAAAGGTGTCAAGATGTTTTACAGAAGGTTAAAACTCTCTAAACCACTCAGTGTAAATACCTCTCTCCCTCTCTCTAATATTACCTGGTGATGGTTGCTATTACAGAGTTGCTTGAGCAGGTTGCAGGAGAACACCTTCTACTACCTGTCACCCATGTTGTCTGTGGCCATCTGTCTGGGCACACTACAGCTAATCCTCATCACACTCTCGTTTTATATGTGTAGAGCCGTTAGCAAGGCCATGAAGTAAGGGCAAACGATTAATTTAACATATAGCATGAACTGCTCTTCCCCCCCTCCCTCCCTCCCTCCCTCCCTCCCATCCCTCGCCCCGCACACACACACCCACCCTCCAGCCCGCTGACTTGTGCTTGTTGATCCGGTTTCCTTTTTATTATTATTATTAAAGATTTGAAGTGACAATTTGCTTGGAAGTTACCTAGTTTAGCTGTATATCTTATGTAGAGGGTTGAAACAACTATTTTTTTTTTTTAATGCTGTAACAATTAGCTTGAAAGGATTTAGTTTAGTTATAGTTCTTTTGTGATGTAGAGGGTTGAAACAATATTTTTAGTGACAATTTGCTTAGAAATTATTTAGTTAGTCTAATATTTTAGGTAGTGTTGAAATGACCTTTTTAATTTACTGTAATTTGAGGCTATGTTAGCTAGTGTCTCTTGTGATGTCCAGTTATTTATGTTTACCATACGTTGAAGTTATATTTAAAAAAAAAAAATTTCTTCGGCGCTAAATGGTAAACCATCGACAGCAAGTTAAATAATCCCAACTTTTAATAGATTACAACTTAACCCAATTTAATTATAAACACTGAAAACCACTAGTATTGGGACCTAGTAGGGTTAGAACCTCTTTAGACTTTCTCCTTATCTTAATCAGTTTGGTCAAGAGATGTTACTTTTGTACACACTTATCTGATTTCCAAGGGTTTGTCACATATACATGCAGTGAGTGTTTTCTAGACCACTGCCGTGTCTCCCCCCCTTCACACCCCTTCAACTCTCCCAGCTCTGAAATACCCCTCTCATTCAAATCCCCATCCCCCTCCCCCAGCAAGACAGCATTTGGGCTTCTTTTATCACTCACAGATAGTATTGAACCTGTCCACGACCAGACTGTGTGTTTGGTTATACAATTGTTTAAACCCATTGCTCGTTATGACAAAAACAATAGATGATATTTTTTTATGCTTGGGAGTCAGATGATCCAAAACTTCCTGTCATGTCGGAAAGAACAAGGAAGTTAATGTGTGTTTCTGGTCACTTGCATGTATTGATCTGAAGTGCATGACGACATACCTTATTGCAATTATCTGTGCATGTGTGTGTGTGTGTGTGTGCGTGTATATGCGTGTCAATGGTGACCTGTGGTATAATGGTCAGCATGCTCGCCTCGCAAGCGAGCGGACCCGGGTTCGATCCCCGGGCAGGGTGAAACTATGGGCAAGTTTCTTTACGCCATTTGCCTCTGTCTACCTAGCAGTAATTTGGAACCTGGATGTTAATCAATTTGTGAATCGTATTCTGGGATAATGGTTAGCCAGTACAGTTGGCGAGTTGTCTGGTCTTCTCGGACTGTTCCTTGACACTAGGTCATGCAGCTCGTTAATTCAGGGTGTGGTTGTTGTGTTAGCAACAGGTTCTGCACCTTAAACAAATTCACGCCGATGTAATGATTGTTTGTCAGACCAAAGCTTACAGCCTGGAATTATGTCACATGTAACAGCAAGCACTACAGACCTCGTGGCACCATCACATCCCGGATTGACACACCTCAGGTCGACCCTAGGGACTTGACTTCGTCCGCTAATGACGTGAGTTAGCCGGGTGACCTACAAACCGCACCTAACCAAGACACCTGGGCAGGACGGCACCTGCACACAGCCGCCCAGACCTGACACTAGGGAACCAGAATTCTCACCACCACTCGATCAGCTCTACCCGGCGTCATGACCTGAGTAATTCAAGGACCCGCTAATTAGCCAGCACTCCTGTTGACCCGACAACCCGGTCAAGACACACCCAGTTCAGTAGGAGAGGTCACCCCCCGGCTCGACTAATATATAGGGGCTGGAGCTCCTCTCACGAGAGAGAGTGTCTGTAACCAGGAAGGGCCAGCTACCAGGTCCCCGAGTCCCGCTCGAGAGAAGACCGCCATTAAGTGTGCCGAAGTCTCAGCCCGGGTCCATCGACAAAGTGCTGTCAACTCCACGTGTAACAGTAAGTGCTGGCTGTGTAGTCTGTGGAAGTGCAGTGATCCCGAACCTCCCCAACGATCGACTTAGTGAAGTGCCCATTCTAGTTGTGAGGCTAGGTTATACGAGAATACCATAGTCTATCATAAATTGTGTACGAACCCCCCTATTAATCCCCCCTATTGAACTAGTAAAATAAAGCTGTAACACGCATTGGTGTTTTATATACTACACTTGTACTGTGCCTGTGTTAATATACAGTGTTGACATCACACCCTCGAGACACGCTACCATTTCCTCTCGCTATAATACTCTACTACTATAAGCTCCTAACTTACCTCTTCATGTGAGATTTTGTCTCATTACAATGGTGGCAGCGCACTTAACGTAAGAATTCACGCCTATTCCCCTTAGTGTTCAGTACAGTGATTGTTAGAACCTTTTAAAGTAAGCTCGTAACTATCTTGACGAAGCAGGCAGTACAAGGGTGGTAACATTTGTAATATAATTCCTGTCCCTCAGTGTGGTACAAGTGGTGACAGTATCCACTCCCCCCTCCCCAGTTCACATATTGTTGGGTAACGGGGAACAATGGTCGAGAACTCAACCAGGGCAAGTGTCAGTAAAACCCCCTCCTCGTCCCACCCACAGACGTCATCGTCAACATTGACAATTTCGACTTCCACGATCAGTACTTCCCAGCCCTCCTCGCAAGCTAATATGACTTCTGTTAACATTACACCGACAACTTCCGTTCTATTCCCGTTCCCTGAACAATCCACTAGTACCTACTCTCCCCCCCTACCCCTTAACCACCCGGCACCCTCTCTCGCCGCTCCCCCCCCCACGCTCACGTACACCTTAGCACCTCCCAACTCCTACAGCATGCCAGACCCCTTCCTGACGTCTGTCTCAGCGAGTAGTGCGGCACAAGTAATCGGTCAGATACCCATGTTTGAGGGCGATGGCCGTGACCCTGCGACATCAGCCGATAGGCTGGAACAGTGGTTAGGACACATTGAAAGTGCGTTCCCGGATACCCTTCAGGAATACGAGGAATGCCGCCTTAGGACGGCACGTATGCGATTGGGCGGCGACGCGAAAGGCGTGCTAGAATTTAAGCCGACAATAAAGAATGCTACCACGTGGGACACGTTCGCGAACGGATTACGGGAAGTTTACAGCCAGGGTGACTCATTACAAGATCACATGACACGTTTAGCTAATATTAAGCTAGAGGAGTGTTCATCACTCAATGTTTACCTATCATGCATAGGGAGTGCTGTGAAGATGGCGAGAGTGAATCACCCACAATTCTTCCCACCTGAGCTAGTACTCTCTTACTTTCTGTCGGGCTTACCCGGCGAGATGCGTACGTACATGGAGGCAAGCGGGATAACTACGATCGAGAACGCAATTAAAGCAGTGCAGAGGTATATACAGCTCAGGAAACCCACCCCCCCCTCCCGTTTTGTGTCGACAATTCACGCCGCACCTCCCACCTTTACACGTAACACCCCTTCTGTCTGGGAGGATGAATTCTTGAGACTGATGGTGGAGAATCTCAGCCGGGACGAAAGGAAGCGACAGGAACAGTCATCGTTCCACGGGGAAGGGCGGGAGCAACCAGGGTTAGATACAGTAGGTATAAACACGTTGGGTAATGCACCACGGGGCGGCCGGCAGTCCGGGGCAGGGACCCGCGGGGCGCGGGCTGGGATTGACCCCCGCCCCCGTGCAGTCACAAGTGCGCGCCCGGGCCCGCCCATGCGGGACAGCTGGTATAGAGCTCCGAAGCCTTTTCGCTGCTCCTCCTGTGGGGCATGGTCCCACGCGGTGCACGGATGTCCCTTTCAATGTGAGGGAAACCAGTGCGATGGGTGTGGCGACCAGGGACATACCCGCAGAGAGTGTCCATACACCGGAATGCGTTGTTACGCATGTGCCGAGTGGGGACACATTCGCAGGTTATGTCCCTACTACTAAAGACAAGGGCGAGGCGTTGATGGTGACTAGGGAAGACAGGCCAATTATTAAGTTGAAAATGGGAGGGAAACGGGTTGAAGCTTTCATTGACACAGGCTCTTCGGTGTCCTTGGTGAAACAGAACGTGGCCTCCAAGATGAGCCTAGGGGGAAAGCATAAAGTTCCTGAGTTAGGTGGCGTCACGGGGAACCGCCTCTCAACATTGGATTCCAGAGATATAACTGTAGACTTAGGAGATAAGATAGTTGTTCACGCGCTGGTTGTGGTAAGCGGTGATCTTTTCCCAGGGGATGTTCTTATTGGGTCAGATTTCTTGTGTAGGTTTAAGTATGGAATCCAGTTTGATGGGAGCCGGTATACCGTGACACTAGATGGTAGAGATTATGCAGGTACTCCTATTAGGAATAGGTCTGGTCTGCCCGTCCACCTCATTAAGCCTAAACGCCCCCAGCCCCCCGCACCACAAGCCCCCCAGCTACACCCGACGCGCGCCACTGTCATCCCCCCCCACTCTAGTGTTGTTCTAGACTGCAAGGATGCGTACTGGAGTATACCTGTCGACCCGGCTGACCGCCCCAAAACTGCTTTCGCGGACGGCAGCCGTCTATTTTGTTTCAACAGGTTACCTTTCGGGTTAAAGGGAGCACCGGCCACGTTCATGAGGGCTGTGAACCACAGTCTCACACCCGTGCTTGGGCGGAACGCTATGGCTTACCTGGACGATGTTATCGTCTATAGTAAAAACATGGATTCGCACATGCAGGATGTAGATGAGGTTCTCTCGGTCATGAAAGCGGCCGGACTGAAAGTGTCCCTTAGGAAATGCGCGTTCGCGCGCCAGGAAGTTAAATTCCTGGGATTCATCGTAGGTCATGGCGGCGTTAGACCCGACCCGGTGAAAGTGAAAGCGATAGCAGAGATGCCACCTCCCACCACAGCCAGGGGTGTGAAACAGTTCCTCGGCACCGCCAATTTTTTCAGACGTCACATCCCTCACTTTTCAGAGGCGGCCCTCCCCCTTACGAAACTTACAAAGAAGTCGGTTCAG